TAAATTGCTGTTACATCTGCATTTTTAATTTATTTTTCTTTTTATTGATGCGTTATATTTTCACATAACAGTGGGATCTATTATAATATATCCATGTGCACACATAATAAAACAATATAGTTTTAACAATTTCATTCCCAGTATCACTGGTTTCCCTCCCTGCCCCTCCCCCAATCCCCTACTTTTATTCTACTGGTCTCCCTTCTATTTTTTTTAAATTTGTTCTAATTGGTTACACATGACAGTAGAATGCATTTTGATACACTTTACACAAATAGAGCACAGCTTTTCATTCCTCTGGCTGTAGGTGGTGCAGATTACACCACTAGCATAGTAATACATATATATAGGGTAATAATGTCTGTCTCATTCTACCATTCTTCCCATCCTAACTGTCCTACTCCCCCCTCAGTCCTCTCTGCAAAATCCAAAGTTCCTTCATTCCTACCCCAATCCCCATAGATAAGCATTGCTTATCAGAGAAAACATTTGGCCTTTGGTTTTGGGGGATTGGCTTATTTCACTTAGCATGATGTTTGCTAGTTTCATCCATTTACCTGCAAATGCCATAATTTCATTTTTCTGTAAGGTTGAGTAATATTCCATTGTGTGTGTGTGTGTGTGTGTGTGTGTATATATATATATATATATATATATATATATATCACATTTTTTATTTATTAATCTGTTGAAGGGTATCTAATTTAGTTCCATAGTTTAGCTATTATGAGTTGAACTACTATAAACATTGATGTGGCTGCATCACTGTAGTATGCTGACTTTAATTCCTTTGGCATAAACCAAGGAGTGGATAGGTGGGTCAAATGGTGGTTCCATTCCAAGAAAGCAATGTATTCTGTTTATCTTTAATCCCTCTGCCTGAGTCATTTTCTGTGTATTTCTGTCTCTTTATCTATTATTTATTCTTCTATTCCCTTTGGAACACTAAAGAAGAAATGAGCTTCCATAATAAATAATCACTTGTTGGAGAGATAAAAATGTGGAAAGAAGTTCCAGTTCTTCTAGCACATCAGCAGTTTGATTCTTGATACCAATTCTCAGGTAGGTTGAATGAATGACCTTCAAATGATTATAGCTCTTGCCAACATAAGAGCTGAGACTGAATAATAACTGCATTTGAGAATAATTTGTTATGCTGCAATAGATAATTGCAATCATAATTTGACATATCTTTGATTATACACACACACAATACTCTTTCTATTAACATGTAGGTATAAAGATGGAAGACTATACATGTTACATTTTGAAAATAACTGTTAATAAGAAAGGGGAATCAGCATAACATGGTGGTAAATACCCAGATAACATTAATACTACTTCCTACAAAGCACTAGAATAGTATGAGGTTGGCGGGGTTACTTAACCTACCTGCTTCACTTTTGATAAATTCACTTTTGATAATTATTACTTATGATAAAATGAAAATGAAAGTAAATGCCTTAACTCAGTCATAACTTCATTTAAAAGAAATGAATTTATTAACATGGTAAACCTTTAAAAATTAGTTATTTTAATATTAAAATTCAACTGGCTCTACGATAATTATTAAGTGGCTAGAAAAACAATCAATTGGAAATTATTTAATAAGTGAACATGTTGAGACACATATGACCCACCATTCTTCAAAAACATTCAAATCCTGTGAAGTCAACTATAAGCAATGAGACTGAAGTAGCTACGATGTCTCCCAAAAAAGAGAAACCCAGAAATGTACTGATTTGTTGTTAACTTCTTCAGATTTGGAAAAAAAAATCATCCTTTATAAAAGAGAAGGAATCCTTCCAAATTCATTTGGTAAATTCAGTATTTCCCTGCTACAAAAAATGTTAGTTTTTTTCAATACAACCATGCTGAACAGACTGAGAAATAATTCAGAGAAATCATATTCACATGAGTGTCAAAATAAACTAAATTTAGGAAATAACCAAAGAGTTGAAGTCCCTCTGAAGTGGAAATTGTAAAAAACTGATGAGAGGAACTGAAGGAGATGTCAGAAGTTAGAAAGACTGCTCACGTTCATTAACTTAGAGAACTAATATTGCTAAAATGGCCATAGAACCATAAGACACCCAAAGATTCAATGAAATCTCCATCAACATACCAATGGTATTCTTCACAGAACTAGAAAAGGCATATGAAAGTCTCTGAGTGGTCAAAGAAATCCTGAGACAAAAGAGCAATGCTGGAAGTATTGCAAAATGTGCTACAGAATCATATTAACAAATATAGCATGGTATTAGCATAAAACCAGATTGTAGACAATGGAATAGAATAGGAAATGCAAAAATAAACCTGCAGGTCTATAGTCAACTGATTCTTGGCAAAGTTTCCAAAAATGTACATTGGAACAAAGATTAAAAAATGGGAAAACAGGACATATACATGTCAATATTAAATCTAGATTTCCTTGTCTCACCCTGTACAAAGTGATCTCAAAGTGGATCAAAGAATTTAATGTTGGATATAAAAGTTTGGAGCTTACAGGAAAAAATTGGGGAGACATTTTATGATGTAAGAAGAGGCAACAGTTTTCTGAATAGGACTACAAAGCTTGGGAAGTAAATGGAAGAAGTGGCATATTGGATTAGATCAAATTTAAAAGCTTCTAAACAGCAAATGAAGCAACTGGGAGAAAAAGAGGAACCTTCAAATAGGATAAAATTTTTCATATATATTCATTTGACAGTGAATTAATATTCAGAATATATAAAGAAGTAAAAAAAAATGTTCCACCAAAGAACAAGCCATAGAAACAACAAATGGGAAAAGGATCTGAATAGACTCTTCTAAAAAGAAGTTCAAATCACCAATGTAGGGAGAAAAGTGCTGAACATCTTTAGCCATAAGGAATATACAAATCAATGTACCTCACCCTGTCAGAGTGGTTGCTATCACAACAACAATAACAACAACAAAATAACATATGCTGGCAAGGATCCGAAGAAGAAAGAACCCTTATGTGGTGTTGGTAGAATGCAACTTCCAACAGCAACTATGGAAAACAGTATGGGGTTCCAAAAAAAAAAAAAAAAAACACTAAAATTACAACTATCTTATGACCCACTCCTAGACATACATTCAAAAGAATTGAAGTCAGTATATAAAAGAGATTCCTGAATGACTATCTTTATTACAATACTATGCACAATAGCTAAGCTATGGAAACAGTATAGGTTTCTATTCACAGATGAAGGACTAAGGATAAGATAATATATCTATATCTATATGCCTATAGGTATAGATATATATTATATATCATCATATGGTTTTATATATATATATATATATGATATATATATATATATATGGTGATACACACATATATCACACATATATCATATACATAAGTTGTTATACACACATATAATTAGAATTTTATTTAGCTGTGAAGAAGAATAAAGTCATGTTATTTGTAGAAAAAAAATGAATGGAACTAGAGATCATCTTTTTATGGGAAATAAGCCAGAGAGAAGACAAATGTCACATATCTTTTCTCATTATGGGAATTAAAATAAAAACCCTGAACATCAAAGAGGTATTGTTAAGACAGAGGAAAGTGGTTAGAGGAGAGAAGGAGGGGAAATTGTAGGCTGGGAGGATATGATTAAAACATAATACATGTACTCACAGAAATGTCACAAAGAATTTCCTTAATTTATAGAAATAATGATTGAATATTTACATAAAATATATTAAGTGAAAGTAATTCTGTTCATATTCCATATTATCTATATCTGTTTACCTGTTGATAGACACTTGGTTAGATTATAGTCTTGGCTATTGTGAAACATGTTAAAAGCAAAATGGCAGTGTAGATATTTCTTTCACAAGCAGGTTTCTTTCCATTTGTATATATGCCCAGAAAGAAACTGGTTACATCTCGTAGTATTTCTATTTCATTCTTTTTGTAATACTTTAGTACTCTTTTCTGTAATGTATACCCTAACTTACATTCCTACAAACAATGTAAAAGCCTACTCTTTTCTCTATATCTTTGCCAATACTACTTATTTTTTGTCTTTCAATAGTGTTCACTATAACTGGAGTAAGATGATATATCACTGTAGTTTTATTTGTGTTTTTCTAATAATTATTGATGGTGAGCTTTTTTGTTATATATTTGTGGACCACTTTTTATATCTCCTTTTTGAGAAATTTCTTTCTATTCCATTGTTTTTTCCTCTTTTTAATTGTTGTTGCTGGTGAGGTAATTGGGACCTTGATATATTGAGGATATCATTCTCTTGTTGGATGAATGGTTTGCAAGTGTTTTATCCAATTCCATATGTTTTCATTTAATTCTTTTGATTGTTTCCTTTGATGTTCTGTTTTTCAATTTTTACTTATGTTGCTTGTGCTTTTGGGTTAGAGTCAATAACCCTTTGCTGAGGGTTATGGTCTGAAATGTTTCTTCTGGTAGTTTTACAATTTGCATACTTACATTTATATCTTTAATATGTTTTGAGTTGATTATTTATTTGGTAAATAGTAGAAGTACAGTTTTATTCTTCTATATGTGGAAATTAAGTTTTTCTTTCACCACTTGTTGGTCCCTATGTTGAAAGTCAAGTTACTATAAATTGGTGGACTGATTTTTTGGTTCTATATTCTGCTACAATGGTCCACTTATCAGATTTTATGCTAATTCTTTGCTGCTTCACTTTCTATAACTTAATATATTTTGTAATATATTTTGAGGCAAAATATTATAATATTTCTCACTGTTTTTTTCAGAAGTATTAGCTCTCCAAGTGTCTTTCATGGATCCAGATAGTTTTTACTATATTTATATTATATTGGTTATTTCTGTGAAGGAGTTCCTCAGTATTTTGTTAAGTTTTGCTTTCTGACCTTAGATTGCTTTATATTTTGTGGACATTATACCAAACTGAATTCTTCTTATGAAGGTGTGTTCGGGTTTAAGTGTGCAGAGTTTAGCTCCCTCAGGCCTGACATTTTGCAAGAGCTGTGGCTGTGATTTAGGTCAGCTGAGGCAAACCTCAGCTAGGAGGAGGAAACGTTCTCTTCCCCTTATCGCAAGGCACAAGTTCTGCATGGTTTGGCCAAGAGGAAGAAGCTTCCTGCATACTTATCCTGGGAGCAGTACATTCTGAAGAAACAAATGCATCCTCAGAGGAGTAGATAATGTCTACAAAGAACTTTAGGAGGGTACTTATCAAACAAACAGGAACAATTTGAATCTAGCTCTGTGTATCCGCTGAGGCATGATATTTGGACAATGTGGGTAAAGTGTTATTGAAGAATTGCTTGCTTTGTTAGAAGAAGTGTATAAAAGGAACTTGCAAATAAACTTCAGCATGCAGTTGCATTTGCTGCCTTGGCTCTGCATCCCGTGTCCCGGTTATTTCGTGACCCTTACCCAGGGACCCGAACGCTCTAGACGTTCACAAAGGTGAGCTGTCTTTACATTTTTGCATGTGACTCATTCAATTTATTTTATCAGTGTTTCAGAATTAACATTTTATTTTTTTTTACCTTTCATGGTAAATTTATTGCTAGCTAATTATTTTTCCGTAACTATTATAAATTGAATTTATTTCTTGATTTTTCAGGTAGCTTCTTATTGGTGTTGATCATGAATCCAGTAACATTATCAAGAATGGTTTGTCTATTACTTTTCATCCAAAAGGTTTCTGGTGGGATGAGAAGGGTTTTTTTTTTTCTATATAAGATTGTGTGGACTCAAAACAGTAATAATTTGACTTCTTTCTTTCCTATTTGGATGAAATTTCTTTCTTTCTTTGGTTAATTGTTCTGGGTCGGATTTACAATATCATATTGAGTAAGAGTGGTGAAAGTGAACATTCTTCTCTGGCTCCCAAATTTAAAGAAAAAATTTCAACTTTTCCTAATTCAATATCATGTTATTTGTGCATCAGGAATATGTGTCTTTAGTTGTGTTGAGGTATGTCCTTCTACTTGTGACTTGCTGACAGGATTTATTAAAATTTATTGAATACATTCTATTTCCTTTTATAATTAGTCTCATCTTTTACATGTTATTAGCCACTTTTAATTCTGTGAATTGCTTATCCATCTGCTTCACTTATTTGTATACAAAACTGTTTAAATTTCTGATGATTGTAATATTTTTTCACTATTTGATGAATATTACTCTTTTGTTCATATATAAGTTGCATGAAAACTAAGTCAGTCTTCATGATTTAACAGTATTTTTAACAACTTACTGTATTAGTTCTATTTGTATTTAATATATATATATATATATATATATATATATGTATAAATTATTAGATAAGATGTAAAAATAATTCATCCAAACCTTTCCTATAATTTCTCTAATTTTTAAACAAAAGTTTTCTAAGGAGGTGAAAGACCTCTACAATGAAATGTGGACAACATTGAAGAAAGAAATTAAAGATCTCAAAAGATGTTCATTGATAGGCTGAATTAATATTATTAAAATGCCCTATAATAAAAAGCAATATACAAATACAGTTAATTCACCATGAGAACAACAATGACATTGTCCACAGAACTAGAAAAAAGCAGTTCTCTAATTAATTTAGAAGAATAAATAACCCAGAAAAGCCAGGGCAATTCTAAACCCAGAAAGTAATGTTGGAGGCATCAAAATATTTGACTTCAAATTATACTACGGAGCTATAGTAACAAAAATTGCATGGTACTGTTTTAAAACAGACACACAGGCCAGTGGTACAAAATAGAAGACACAGAGACAAACCCACAAATCTACAGATGTCTGATTCTTGACAAAATTGTCAAAAATACACTGGAGAATAGATTGATTATTTAGGAAATGATGTTGGGATCTGGTTATCATGTGTAGAAGAATGAAACTAGCCCCCTAACTGTGACCCTACACAAAAATAAACCCCAAATGGATCAAAGACCTAGGAATTAGAAATTATGCAAGTCCAGAAGAAAACAAACGGTCAACACTCCAGTATATAGGCACAGGAAATGACTTTCTCAATAGAACGATAAAGTTCAGAAAATCATGCTAAGAGTTAATAAATGGGAAGGCATCAAATTAAAAAGCTTCTGCACAGCAAAACAATTATAATTTTGAAGAGAAAACATACAGAATGGAAGAAAGTCTTTGCTAGTTACATTTGACTAAGGATTAATATTTAGAATATATAAAGAATTTAAAAAACTTTACACCAAAAAAAAAAAAACAAACCAAATCAACAAATGGGCAAATTAATAAAAAAGATACTTCTCAAAAGAAGAAATATAAATAACCAAAAAATGTGAAAAATATCTTTGATACATTTAATCTTCATGGAAATGCAAAGCAAAAGTATACTTGGATTTTATCTTATACCAGTCAGAAAGGCAGTCATCAATAAAAAAAATAAAATGCTGGAAAGAATGTGAAGAAAACACTTTTACAATATTGGAGACATTGTAAACTAGTACTACCACTATGGAAATCAGTATAGAGGTTCCTCAAAAATGAGGCATGGAGCCATCATAAGACCCAGCTATACCACTTCTCAGTATTTATCATGAATAATTAAAGTCATTTTATTACCCTGATACATGCATATCCATGTTTATATTTTTAGAAGCACAATTTACAATAGCTCAACTATGAAACTAGCTTAGGTGTCTGCCAGTGGATGAATGGATTTTATAAAAATTGTGGCTTTTATACATAATGGAATTTTATTCAGTCATAAAGAAAAATAAAATTATGTTATATGCATGAAAATGGATGGAACTAGAGATCATTATGTTAAACAAAATAAATAAGTCAAACTCAGAAGTCAAGGTTTTTATGTTTTCTCTCAGATGTGGAAGCTAGAGGCAAAAAAAGGAAAGATGGAGGTAGATCTCATGAAAATCAGTAGAAGAGCAGAAGCAGAAAGCCTCCAAAGGGTGGAATGTGAGGTAAGAGGGGAAAAGTGTTGGGAAGTGATATTGGCAAAATTATATTGTTATATTGTGTCTTTGTTTGTATGTACAAATATGTCACAACAAATCCTATCAGTTTATAAAATTACAATGCACCAATAAAAAGTGGAAAAAGATGCAAAATGCTTTAATATTTATTTTGAATTAAACTTAAGATGGAGAATATTTCTTGTGAAGCTTGGCTGGTGGTCTTTATAACAAAAAAAAATAACTAACTATTATGGTTTGGACTTGAGGTGTCCCCCAAAAGCTCACGGGAGACACAATGGGGGATAGTTCAGAGGGGAAATGATTGGGTTATGAGAGTCTTAAGCCAAACAGTGAATTAATCACCTGATGGGATTAATTGAGTGGTTACTGAAGGAAGGTGGGGTGTGGCTACAGGAGGCAGGTCATTGGGGTCATGGCTTTGGGGTACATATTTTATATCTGGCAAGTGGAATCTCTCTCTACCTCCTGATTATTATTCCACCATACAATACCCCCATGATATTCTGCCTCACCTCCAGACTCAAGAAATGGAGGCAACCTTCTATGGAATAAAACATGAGCCCTCAAATAAACTTTTCCTCTTCTACAATAATTCTTGTAGGTCTTTTAGTCATAGTAGCAAACATGCTGACTAAACCACTAACTATTCCTGAATTTGGGACATTTTGATCATAAAAAGGTTTAGTGATGTTTTCCTTAAAGGACAGCATTTGGATTACTTGTGATTTTGTTTACCTATTTTCCAACCAACTTACGTAATTTTTATATTGTTTTCAATGTTACCGAGTGTTATAATAGATAACATGCTGAGTTTTGCAGGAAAAGTATGAAGATTTTATTTTCAGTCATTCCAAATGATGTAGATCCTTTACTACTGTTATAGGTGATATGAGACAATAAGCTACTGAGGAAAAAGAAAAAAATTAGACATGCTCTTCATTATTACAGATTATAGAATTTAAATATAACTGCAAACTGTCTACAAAAACTCATTACATTTCACATCATAACAGTAACAAATATAGGTAACCTTGTGTCATATTTGAGGAAAAAATAAGAATTTAGCAAGTTTCTTTCCTGTTCCTGTTCTGTATTACCACAACCTAAAATTGAGACCTAATGTCTATTTCCAAAGCATGATTATGAGAGTGGCCAAACAGTTCAATTTATTTGATGGATTAAGAGTAAATAACTATAATGAGGTAATGAAACCAAATATTTTCTTCAATGACTCAATTGTGCTGTAGAAAGTACATAGGAATCATTATGCTTCTAATTCTATAAAACATTTTATGGGGAAATGACTTAGCTGGAAAAAAGGCAAGTGTCTTTCTTCAGGAAAGTTAAATGTACAAAATTCTGTGCCTAAATGAAATTAAGCAGGCTGGGAATTTGAGAAACCATACTGATAATGAGTGAATCCTTACTGTTTTTGTCTCAATGCATAATTGTAATTAAGTTTATTAAGTTTTTTTTTGTATACTAATAAATTATAATATTAAATTTCTACATAGGTTCATATAGTCATATAGTTTAACCTTCTGCAGTGTTTGATTCCTCCCCCCCCCCCACCGCCCCAGGATGTTTATTTCCCTTAACTAGGAATTAAATTTCTGGAAAAGAAACTTTGAGTTGATTAGGTAGATTGTAAACATTTGTTTTTCCACAGACAGAAAGGATTCTAGCATTGTAACATCTTATTGCTGGGGTAAACTGGAAGAGGCCCATCTGTCAGTACTCCAGGTTCAGGATTAATAAACTATTCCTCTTTTTTCTTCTTTCCTGTTTTAGCAAACTTCCGACAACAAAATAGACAGCATTTGGTGATGATGAACATCCCAGTTGCCACACAGGCCAGCAGGAACCCAAGCACATCCAAAGAGTAGTACTGGAACCAGGAGAGGTAATGGGCAGCCACCCGGAGGTGTTTAGCTCCTTTGTGGCGCATGACAAACTCTATCCAGAAGACAGCTTGGTCCAGAGGCTTCACTGGATGTTCATGGTGAATTCTTGATAATCTCATAACATTCTCTTTATATCTATACAACAATCATAAGATACCAATATTTTAAAAAAGTTAATTGGCCTAAATTTTTAAGTCCCTGAAAGGTTCTTTGAAAGTTTCACAAAACTGGGTCAAATAAGTGTCATAGAACAGCCATAGAAGTATTTTTTTTTTTTTTAATTCTGTTGTCTTGAGAAATTCAGT